TTGGAAGGTTGAGGTGGAAGGATCGCCTGAGCCCAACAAGTGGAGGTGGCGGTGGCCGTGAGCATGCCACTGCACTCCAGCCTGGGCAACAGAGTGAGACTCCAACTCAAAAAAAACAAAAAACAAAAAACACCAGATTTTCAACATGAGTTTTGTCTTGTATGTAAGGTATTCATCTTACTGAGTTTCTATTCATTTATATGTAGATGACTTCACTGCCCCTCCCAGGGTTTTCATTGATCATTCTGACTGATCTTCAAAACAACATTGGAATTAGTCCTTACAAGGAAATCCCCTCCACTACTGGCACCCAAAGAGAATCTTTTCTTGTGACCCAGAGCTTCAGTTTTGCGATTCAACTGAAGGAATCCTTCTCTCAACCATCATAAAGCACACACTAAAGACAAACAGCCACCCTGTATGAGAAGTGTGTGTGTGTATGTGTATGTGTGTGTGTGTGTGTGTGTGTGTGTGTGTGTGTGTGTAAACATATTTTTTTAATTCAAGAGAAGTAGAAAAGCTGTTTCATTAAAAAAGGATTTGATTAAATGCACTCTTTTCACCTAGAAATTAAAAATTACCAACTTAATATAAGATAAATTTGATGAAAGCTATAGATAATTCAAGAAACCTTATTTTGGAGACCAACTTGAACATACTCCCTCACCCAAGGGACCAACATTACAGAGAATAAAATTGATGGTTTGATGTTCCATTTTCTTTCTTATTCCTATTCCTTATGAGAGATATTAACCAACAGTGAAATGAGCACAAGGGAACTGGATGAGGCAGTGTTTTTACATCATCCACCTACAACTCCCCATATTAATGTAGCCCAAATAAGCACAAGGAGCTGAAACCCCTGGTGGAATACTCTACCAATCTTAGGTGTACCTCCCTACTCACCAGGAGTTCCCAATGTACTCTGAGCTCCATCTACAGATGGTTTATTAAAAGGTGTTGAAACATGAAAAAGCAAAGTTAATAGTTAAATTAAATAGTTCCTATTAGAACTCTTTTTACAAATGTTGTAACAAGTTCACCTCTCCACAAATAAATATGTAATGATTTTCAGTTGCAAATAAACAACTAATCATCCTAATTTTCCAACTAAGTTATATACATTATCTTAGAATCTGAAGACTCTTTTATCACATTATTCAAAGCAAACACATACACAAAAACAAAAACCTCTCCACTGGAGGTAGGCCAGTCGTCAGGTATCCTGTAAACATTTAGAAGAATACATATTGATTGGAAGGTGACTAAACTGAAATTGATTTAATGAATTATAAATCTTAAGTGCCTCCTGATAGATATTATTTTTCTTTTTAAAACTTATTATTGCATTAATATGTTTTTGTTTGTTTGTTTTTGAGTTGGAATTTCACTCTGTTATCCAGGCTGGAGTGCAGTGGCACGCTCACTGCCAGCACAGCCTTGACCTGCTGGGCTCGGGTAGTCCTTCTGTCTCAGCCTTCCAAGTAGCTGGAATTACAGGCACGCATATTTTATTAATAATTCCAAACATTGCTTAATTTGAAAATCATCTTTCTCCATTTGGTCACTACCTTTCCCAAACCTCTAACAAGGCTATGAATTAGTAACTCCAAGACTGTCTCACTCACCATTAACTTTTTCCACATCTGAGAAAGAGCTTTCACTAAACCTCTATTTTCAAAATGAGATTCAATAAGGGCAAATGCAAAACAGTCCACATACAACAGGAAAATCACAAATGCAAATAAACTAAATTGCAGCTTACTGTCCATTATCATTTTAGACTAGTTCTTGGAAAAGTCAAGCTTTTTCTCCAATGATGTCTACAGAGAGTCAAATGAGAGCTGGAATTTGGGACTTCAGAATGAAGTAAGTCCTGGATAAATTCAAATCTCATAGGGGAATTATTTAGCCCACAGTCTCAACAGCCACATTTATGAATGTGATACATGCAGGATGGTTTGAAACTAACTTGGTGAAAAATGTCAAAACACCTGGACATTCAATAGGGATGAATTCTAATTTTTAAATTATGTATTTATCTAAGAAGTTAAATCCAAAATCAACTTCTTAAAAACTATATCCACAGTGTATATGCATACTAAGGTAGCGGCTATAAAAAAAACCCTGCAATTTCAACAACGAAACGTTTTTTGTAAAATATTATTTTTGGAGAAATTTAACTTTGCTAACAAGGGTTTCCATATATTGGACTATCTTTTATTGCCCCAGTTTACCATAGAAAAAATGAGAGAAAAGACCATAGAAAAAGTAATAAAGAAGAATAAAGAAGATAACATTGATTGCTATCTACCAATTACTGGTTATTATGGTAAAGACATTTGAAAAATAAAAGAATCCTCATTGCTACACCAGAATAAGAAGTATTTGAGACATATTAAAAACATTTTTTCACACTGGACAGGTTAGCTCATACCGGTAATCCCAGCACTTTAGGAGGCAAAGACGGGAGGATCACTTGAGCCCTGGAGTTCAAGACCAGCCTGAGCAACATAGTGAAACTTCATCTCTGCAAAAAATAAAAATAAAAAATTAGTCAGGCATTGTGGTGTGCACCTGCAGTCCCAGCTACCCAGGAGGCTGAGGAAGAAACATCGCCTGAATCCAAAATGTTGAGGCTAGAGTGAGCCATGATTATGCCACCGAACTCCAGCTTGGACAGCAGAGTGAGACTCTCACTCAAAAGTAAATTTAAAAAAATATCTTTTTAACAATGACTAGTAGCAGTGTAGGCAAAATGCAATGAACATCTATCATGACAAAGAATAATTACCCCAATTGTCAGCATACATTTAAAAAATCTGAATCTAAAATTACATAATAACTTGGCATGCACATATCATCTGTGGTTACATGTATGCCAAATTGCTGTCCCTTATTTGCTCAAATACCATTAACTCAGCAGATTTATTCGGTGAAACATTTTCAGTATAAAATGTTAATGAAAACAAAATTTTTGAAAAACAGAAGACAGAGATTGAATTTTTATTTTAACTAAGGATGAGAATTCTGTATAAGTCTATGGCATTTGAAAATTTTGTCATCAGATCCTTTTAAATGCAAGATATATATCTCCTAGTCTCAGAGAGGTAACTTAAGACACTGAGCTGTAAATTGTCCAGATCCCATTTATCTTTCCTTCACCTCACACTCATAACACCGGCCTAGAGTTTGGAACTGAGGTGATGTTTCTTCATCTGCACCTAGAATTGGGAATACCTTCAGGAGGCCAGATGGCAAAGCAAATACTATTTGCTGGGCAAAGTCATAGTTTATAGACAAGAAGGACCAAGATAAAAAACCAGATGCAAAATTAATATATGGGTCATAAAATTGGGATTTTAGAAGAGCTATGGATAGGACCAATCGGGCTGCATTTTGGAAAGCTGTGATGTGGTTGAAGATGGGTGGAGAGTTGATGAACCTGGCAGGGGAAAGTTATCCAGATAGCACCGACATCTGCTTCCATTGGCTGTGGGTATATATTTCATGGAGGACCTGGAGTTGAGGGGGGTCTAAAAATCTGAAAACCAAGATTGATGTGGGCAGTGGGAGTCAAATTCAACTCTTTTTTTTTCCTGTTTTTTGAGGCTCTTATGATCTTATTTTTTCCTTCTTGTTAAACATATCACTTGGTAGAATCATTCTTCTCTTGCTGTAGTGAGCACAGTGTAAGGACAGACATTTAATAATATGAATAGCAGCCGGGCTCGGTGGCTCAGCCAGTAATCCCGCGCCTTTGGGAGGCTGAGGTGAGCGGATTGCCTGAGCCCGCGGGTTCGAGACCCGCCTGGGCAGCGAGACCTCATCTCTTCAATAAATCAAAAAATCAGCCGGGTGTGGTAGCGCGCATCTGTAATTCCGCCTACTCGGAAGGCTGAGGCAGAAGGATCGCCGGAACCCAGCAGGTCGAGGCTGCGGTGGCCAGGAGCGGCCACTGCACTCCCGTCTGGGCGACAGAGTGAGACTCCAACTCAAAAATAATAATAATAATAATAATAATAATAATATGAATAGCAGCTAACATTGTTGAATGCTGAGTATGACCCAGCCAGGAAGCTAAGCACGTTAAGCACCATACCTTATTTTATGAAGTAGTAATGATTTAGTGACATTTACGTCTGATGTAAATAAAGTTCAGCAAGATCATGTAAACACCTTTTGTGAGAGATTAAACTCATTTTACAGAAGGTCATTATGCCCTCTGCTGGTGGTTAAAATCTTCTGTACTATCTACCTTCTGAAAGAATGCTCTTCAACAAGAACTTGAAGATGATGTCATCATGTGGATTAACCTTGCACTATACTTTTGTATATCTGGCTCACTAATCTTAAAGACAACATTCTGCCGTGAAGGCTGCGGAAACATGGTATATTAAGGGGAAGGGAGAATTCTTATACAAAATGTATATCCCAGGATCGGATTTTAAAGTCTGGAACGGCAACTGCCTTTAATGAGTATATAATTAGGGGAGGGAAAAATTTTTTTTAAGTGTCTCAGAATCATTACAAGGCAAAAAGTATGCTGGGAAATGTCCAGATCTGAGACTGACTATTTGTGGCAATAATAGGAAATAACTGTCTGCCCTGAGGATGCAGCATTTGGCAAAAGGAGAAAATAAAAATGCTAACAAAATATCAGTAACCAACATGAAACATATATGTATATTGCAGAGCTGAGTAAGAGTGAGGATGGAATGGTGCTAATGGAGCATTTTTCCTAGGATGTAATTTGAAGACTCTAATCATCATTCAAATCTTTGAATTTGCAATCCTCCAGTTTCATTTGAAGAGCACCAGATTCAAAAAGTCCCTCTGATTTTTTCCTTCGGGGAAAAGCTAGTGTAAGACTCTACCCCTAACCCAGGAGTTGGCTGAAGATCGGATTTCTCAGTACTGTGTGTTCCCATTTGCAAGATCATCCAGAGGAAGCATTTAAGACCGTCCATAAGGGAAAGATAAGATTTGTCCTAGAAAACATGACCTCCTCCTGGTCAATCGTTCTTCATGTCATCGTCATGTCAGCAGAATTCTTCACAGGAATGACAGTGAATGGATTTCTTATCCTCATCAACTGTAACGACTTGATCAAAAGCAGAAAACTAATGCCAATGCAAATCCTCTTAATGGGTATAGGGATGTCTAGATTTGGTCTGCAAATAGTGCTAATGCTACAAAGCTTTTTCCCTATATTCTTTCCAAACTTCTATGTGGTAAAAATTTATGGTGCGGCATTGATGTTCTTCTGGATGTTTTTCAGCTCTATCAGTCTCTGGTTTGCCACCTGCCTTTCTGTATTTTACTGCCTCAAGATTTCAGGCTTCACTCAGTCCTGTTTTCTTTGGCTGAAATTCAGGATCCCAAAGTTAATCCCTTTGCTCCTTCTGGGAAGTCTGCTGGCCTCCGTGAGCACCGCATCTCTGTGTATTGAGGTAGATTACCCCAAAAACGTGGATGAGGACACCCTCAGAAACATCACGCTAAAGAAGACGAAAGCCAGGAAGATAGAGCAAATTAATGAAGTGTTCCTTGTCAACTTGGCGTTAATATTTCCTCTAGCCATTTTTGTGACGTGCACTTTCATGTTACTCCTTTCTCTCTACAAGCACACTCACCGGATGCAGAATGGATCTGGTGGTTTTAGGAATGCCCGCACAGAAGCCCATATAAGTGCACTAAGAATGGTGGTGACATTCTTTTGTTTCTTTATTTCTTATTTTGCTGCCTTCATGACAAATATGACGTTCAGCATTCCTTATGCAAGTCAGCAGTTCTTTGTGTTGAAAGACATAATGGCAGTGTATCCCTCTGGCCACTCGGTCATCATAATCTTGAGTAACTCTAAGTTCCAACAGTCATTTAGAAGAATCCTCTGCCTCAGAGAGAAATGATGAAGACAAGGACCAATGTGAAATACTTGTTTCCTTGATGTGGATTCAATGAACTTCCTTGTGTTTTGTGGCTGACTCTTCCTCTCTCTGGTAATTTCCTGCCTGTGTCTCACCTCCGGGGCATGCAAGGAACTAATTCAGATGTTAAATAGATGGAATATCTTTTTATTCCTCTAGAACTTGTGTACTTAAAAATATTGCGATGTTGACCAGGCGTGGTGGTTCACACCTATAATCCCAGCACTTTGGGACACCAAGGTGAGAGGACTGCGTGAGTCCACATGTTCGAGACCAACCTGGGTAACTTGGTGAGACCTCATCTCTACAACTAAAAAAAAATAGCCAAGCATGGTGGTGCATGCCTGTAGTTCCAGCTACTTGGAAAGCTGAAGTGGAAGGACTGCCTTAGTCCTGCAGGTCGAGACTGCGGTGGCCGTGAGCAAGTCACTGCACTCCAGCCTGAGCGACAGAGTGAGACTCCAACTCAAAAAAAAAAAAATTGTGATGTTAATACATTTATGTAACTAGTACTTGTAAGTACAGTTGTATTTTAGAAATAAGAAAACAATACTGACTCAATTTGGCTGACCAATGAAGTTATTTTATCTCTTTTCCCAGGTCTTTGGGAATCTTCTGGTTTAAAAGAGAACAGCATTTTGATTTAGTTCAAGACTTGAAGCAGTATAATAATTTAGTTATTTGGGGGCATGTCACTATTTTTCAAAGAGAATCTTTAGTGAAAGGCTAATTTTATGTTGAAATTGTTATAACAGTGTACCTAGTTATGCTGGTTAAGATCTTATTTTGCTTTTCATTTCACTTGGGTGGATGACAGGGTGTAAATTGAGCTGTCATGTGTATATACACATACACACAATCCAAGATCTCCATTTTTTACAAAATGAAGACATAATTTTCAACCCTCTGAAGTACTAAACTCATCCCCAGAGAGAATATGGGAGAGGTTGCTAGCAGTCCCAGAAAGCAAACTTTCAGCAACAGGTATCTTAACTTCTTTGCAACTGAGAATTTTGTCTGGGGTATGGCAGCAGAAAATACCTTCAAAATCCAAAGTAAAACCTTCAGAATCTGTTGCTCATTGTGAATTGATTCTGCTCTTTGAGTATCTTGAATAGTTTTGCTTTAGAGAAGAAAAATTTTTTTTGCAATACCTTACATCTTTTTGGATACCTGTTTATAAAATCCTCTTTGTCACTTAAACTAAAAAAGATATGTAGTTATTTTAGCTGTAAATAAGTTGCCATTAAAATGGATGAAAAGCTAATGGAATGAAAAAAAAAACTAGACGTGTATAAATCTGTGCAACACTCGGTGGCTCAGCCTGTAATCCCAGCACTTTGGGAGGCTGAGGTGAGTGGATTCCCTGAGCCCGCGGGTTCGAGACCCACCTGGGCAACTTGGTGAGCCCTCATCTCTACAACAAAATCAAAAATTAACTGGGCGTGGTAGCACACGCCTGTAGTTCCAGCTACTTGGAAGGTTAAGGCAGAAGGATCGCCGGAGCCCAGCAGGTCCAGGCTGCAATGGCTGGGAGTGGCCACTGCACTCCAGTCTGGGTGACAGAGTGAGACTCCAACTCAAAAAAAAAAAATAAATAAATCTGTGCAACGATTTTCTACCAGATAAAAGAAAAATTTAGAATCTGTACCAGCAATTCCTTCACTATTCTCTGAAGGAGAGTGTCTCAATTTTTTTTTTATTGGAATCTCATCCTGTCACCCAGACTGGGGAGGCATACTCACAGCTACTGCAGCCTCAACCTGCAGGACTCAGGTGATCCCTCTGCTTCAGTCTTCAAAGTAGCTAGGATTATATGCATGTGCCACCACACCTAGCTAATTTTTAAAAATTTAATGTAGAGGTGAGGTCTCGCCAAGTTGCCCAGGCTGGTCTCGAACTCCTGGGCTCAGGCAGTCCTCTCACCTTGGCCTCCCAAAGTGCAGGGATTACAGATGTGAGTCATCAAATCTGGCAAGGTTCTCAAATTTGAATGTACATCAGAATCTCCTTGAAAGTTTGCTAAAACAGATTGCTGGACACCACTTCCAGAGTTCTGACTCAATAGGTCTTTGGATAGGGCCTAAGAATTAGCGTTTCTAACAAGTTCCCAAATGGTACTCATGTTGGTGGTCTGGGAAGACGCTTTGAGAACCATATATTATAAAGGATAAGACCCGGCTTCTGAAGTCAAATTGGATGGGTTTGTTTCTTGGCCCAGCTGCTTATCAACTATATAATCTTGTGCACATTATCAGACGCTTTCTCAGTTTCTCTCTGTGAGATAATAAAAGTACCTACTCCCAAAGGTCACTGTGACATTGAATGTGTTTGCAAGTACAAAATACCTAGAACAGTGACTGGTCCACAGCAAAGTTCATGGCCAAGTGCAGTGGCTCATTCCTGTAATCCCAGCACTTTGGGAAAGCTGAGGGGAAAGGATTGCCTGAGCTCAGGAGTTTGAGGCCAGCCTGAGCAACCTGGCAAGACCTCATCTCTACAATTAAAAAAAAAAAAAACAGCCAGGCATGGTGGCACATGCCTGTATTCCAGCTACTTGAAAGGTGGAGCCTGGAAAGATAGCCTGAGCCCAGCAGGTCGAGGCTGAGGTGGTCGTGAGTATGCCACTGCACTCCAGCTTGGGCAACAGAATGAGACTCTAACTAAAAAAGAAAAAAAAAAGTAGAGTTAGGCCCAAATATTCTATTAAGTCCAAAAATTTTTCAATTACCACTATATGGAAAGCATTATATATATTTTTTGAGTTGGAGTCTCACTCTGTCGCCCAGGCTGGAGTGCAGTGGCACGCTCATGGCCACCCCAGCATCCTTCTGCTGGGCTCAGGCAATCCTCTCGCCTCAACCTTCCAAGGAGCCAGAACTATAGGCATGTGCTAACACTCCTGGCTAATTTTTGATTTGTTGTAGAGACAAGGTCTCGTCAAGTTGCCCAGGCTGGTCTCAAACCCATGGGCTTAGACAATCCACTTGCTTCGCCCTTCCAAAGTTCTGGGATTATAGGCTGAGCCACTGAGCCCAGCCCCATTATATTTCTTAGATAAATTTCTCTACTATTTTGAAATTGAACTAATAAAATTAAAATTCTCTATTAGTACTTTAAGAAAAAGAGGTGAAGTCTACTTCAGTTTAAAATAATAAACAGGGTTAGCATTTGATGAGGCATAAGAGGGAATAAACAAGAATTTTGAAATGCTATAAAAAACAACAAAGCTGGGCGTGATGACTCACACCTATAATCCCAGCACTTTGGGAGGCAGAGGCAAGAGAATTGCCTGAGCCTAGAAGTTCAAGACCACCTGGGCAACTTGGTGAGACCTCGACTTAAAAATAAATTAAAAAACTAACCAGGGCGGTGGTGCATGCCTGTAGTTCCAGCTACTTGGGAGGCTGAGGGGGATCACCCGAGCCCAGCAGGTTGTGTCTACAGTGGCCATAAGCATATCACTGCATTCCAGCCTGAGTGACAGATGAGACTTCAACTCAAAAAAAAAGTTCAGTCAGGCCCAAATA